CTTTCATCACTGATTTAAAGCACTAGTTAGTCAAGATATACAGAGCAGGTATAGCATATCCAGACACAATGCTGACCTGCTACCACGCCTTAAGTTGAAGAATGGCAACACATTTTGTTGAGCCCCAGCTCAAGTCTGGGATCGTGCCCGGTATGCAAAAGCCAATAAAGATACCAGGGGTGAAAGTATAAAGATTTATTGCTAGCAATACAAGGTGCAAGCGGAATAATTTCACGTAACAAGCACACAGATTCTTAATTATGAGCATCTTTTATACAGGAGTATTGGACCTTCATAAGCATTCTTGTTTGCTAATTGGTTAGAAGGGAGTGACGCAAGGAGTTCTTTACTGCGCATGTCTCTATACCTGTGTTTTAGCTATGTATCTCATTTCCATACATGTATGTTTCATTAGCATACTTTCTCCCCACCTAGGGGTGTGAATCTTAATATTTAAATCAGCTCTTTGTCCTAGTCCACTAATTCTGTTTTTGTTTTCAAGCCTCCTTTATCTAAGACTGTCTTCTCCTTATCATTGCAGTTGGGCATTAGTTACAGAACAGAGACTTTTGCTTGGGCTATGTGTAGTGGTTTCTAGGTCAAACCTGACAATTTGAAGTGATCATAAATGGATGACAGGGTTAATGTCAAGCTGCTTATTTAAAAGCTGAGTAATCACACACTAAAAGAGTCAGTAATATTTTTACATCACCCCAAGTGTTCTGGGAACTTTATAGAAAAAACCAATTGCAAGGAACGGCACTAATGCAATTACATTTTATGATCATGGCTTTACAGATATGAATGTCAGAAACCATGACCCTGGCTATGTTGTAAACATGCATGCAAACACTATTGAGTGTAGTTCTGCCTTGAAAAGTATCTATTGAAAAAGTTGTTTTACTCAACAGCTCACTTCCTTGTGCAGTCTCCGCCGTTTAGTCTGTGACTAAATGATTTCACTGGTCTGTCCCCGAGTGAAAGCTGAATTCTAGCCTATGCACATTGCCACTAGAATTGTTTATACAATTCCAATTACAAGGATAATCTGCTATACTTAAGCCATCCCAGCAAAAGCTCCTGGATTGTATAATTTGGCCTCCAAAACATACAATGTGTGAGAAGGAAAGTATCTAGCCTGACACTTAGATTTTAGGTTGAGTTAGTAGTGCTGGCAGTTAGGAGAAAACACCAATCTAACTTGTAAGTGCAGTGACTCTCAATCAGGATGCTGTGGTACCCTGAGGGGTGCTCTGAGAGCCATTCAAGGGTGCCACAGGGTGTCATATAACGTTAGCACTGCAAAGTATGAAACACAATAAACCTGAATAAAAATGAACTGGAAAGTGATAAAACCAGATAATGATAAACCAAGATAAACCCAGGGTTTTCAAATAGGAATTCATAATGTCGAAAACATTCTGACCTGCTGTGATCTTTCTTGAATTCTTTGCAACAGAATAATTGCTTTATTATTTTTCTGTAGTTAAAAATAAATAAGGAGTAAAAACTGAGAGCTGGCATTTTCCAAGAGATGCCTCGAGTCTGTCAAAGGGTGCCCTGGCTTCTACAAAGGTTGAGAACCACTGTGTAAAAGACACTGCTGAGGTATTTCTGGAGTCACTTTCTGAGTGGAACTGTACCTAATGGACAAAGTTTATAATAATAACAACATCTAATAAAAAAAAGACTGTGCCACATGTAAAATAGGTGACTTATGGGTGGTTCAGAGAATTGTGCATTTCAATTCACTCACACTGAACGCGTAAGAAAAACAGCCACAAATGCATTGAGTGCTGACTGTTGCTTTCTATTCCATTTGTTGTTCTCCCTTCAGTTTAATTGCCTTTGCAGGCACACTTACTGATGATTCCTTTCCATAAATTGTATTTTAATAACCCAAATAATTGCCTCCTTTTCCCCAGGCAGATTATCTTCACAGAAGACAGCACCATTGGTATCTTCCCCTGCCCTTCAAATATGCATTCATTTTCCTATCATGTTACTCGGATAGAAATGGTAAAAGGGTGGGCCAAACTGAATGATGCCCGAGGACTCCGAATGAAAAAGCTGTGCTGCGACTGAAACAATGCCGAAAACTCTATTAATTTCACTTTAGCCACCTTTTTAAATGTGACAAAACCGGCCCGTAAAGCAGATTTATTGTTTGATAAAAATAAGTTAATCACTTGAGAGGAAAAAACAGAAAAGAAAAATCAGCAGCAGCTGACTCAAGGAATGATAGGTAAAGAGAAGGTCCTTTAAGGACAAATTTAATGGACTCAATTTTCTACATGGTGTCTACAGTAGATATATATTGATAGGCACATTAGAAAAAGCTAAAATAGAGAGATCACACTTTTCACTTAAAATTCTTTTTGTCCTCATGCCTTCTATTTCATTTTTAAAACAAAAAGTCTATTAAGTGTTTTAGTGTGTGTGTGTGAATTTACTGCTTGAGCAGAGTGCTGGACTGAGGGGAAGAAAGCTTTTCTTTAGCACCAGCTCGGACAGCTGCAGCGCATGTTTCTGGTGATACACTGCCAGTAACTAACCAAACTGAAGGCGGCACTCCTAGTGAAGAGAGGGCAATTCATGCTTAGCCTTCTCTGCCAAGGGCAGCAGTCAATGCTATTTATAGGGTGGTTTGTGTGATACAGACACTTCTGGAAACTGTTGAGAGACCACCAATCTTATTTCTCACAGGCCAATTATTGGGCTCTAAGTTGCTTGGTGCAAGGAGGGTCTGTTTCCCATTCTGCAAACCAGCATAGCTGGTACTCAGTAAAACAGCATAGCAGAAAGTTTCAGGCACTGTTTCCCTAAAGCAAGGTTGAAGAGATGTATGTGCAAATCGACATCTTAAGAACAGGCTACTTAGCATCTCTCTTGTGCATCCCATAAAGGTATTCAGCTCAGTGGCTGAATCCTTCTGCTTAGCGAACAAGAGACTCTCTGGACAATAGTTATCACTTTGTGGCCTCTTGTGGGCTAAGATCAAGTATAGTAGTCAGGGTTTTGTATTCAGAAGAATATCTACCTCAGGCAAACATTTATCTGGGGTAATTTAGACAGGGACAATCCTGCCTTAAGCAGAGAGCCAGATTAGATCCCTAAAGCCTCTCTTCTAGTCCTGTTTTTTCTATGATTCTTCTAGTGTCTAGCACTAGTCAGTAAAAGTAGTGGGGTGCACAGCTGGACAGACACTGTGCCAGTGGCTGTACTCCCTGGAGCCTGTGAAGGCACTGTCTCTAGAGAGTTTGCTCTCTGCAGGGCACACCTTTCCAAACATCACCCTTGACATGAAGCTGTAGTGCATGTTGCAATTTAGCCTAGAAGAGACAATGTGAAAAATACCTAAATTTTACAGACACGTGTGTCCTAAGCAATATGTAAATCGTGACCGGTGTGTTCTCCAACACACTGGGCACGTCTACACATGCACATTTACTGCGCAGTAACCAAAATTACTGCACAGTATGGGCACATGTCTACACATGCACTCCCATACTGCACAGTAAATAGGGCGACTTACACCAACTTGGGAGTAAATTTGATACCTGCAACATGCAGGTATCAAATTTACGCCCGATTAGATACTGCTCAATATTGCACATATAGATGGATGCCTTACTGCACAGTAACACTGTGCATGAGGGCTGACTTGGGACTAATTTTAGTGCCAAGCTAGTCCACACAGTGTTAATGCACTTTAATACCTGCACATGTAGATGCCAGCCTATTCCCGCTTACTGCACAGTAAAGTAGTGCAATACTGTGCAGTAATTTTAAGTCAGCATAAATGCATGTGTGTACACATCTACTGTATTGGAGATGTGACTACAAACAATTCTTGATGACTTCAGAGATTCACATCTAAGACTATTCACTGCATGTATACCTAATCTTTATTTGTCATATAGGGCACAATCCAAAAGCATACAGGGAAAGCACCTTCAGAAATCTCTCATCTGGCACTTGTACATGAATAGATTTGTTCTTTCTGTCACTCAACACAGGTAAGATATAAGAACAAAACCCACTCAGCATACATTCATCAGTAGATATCTAACATGAAAAAAATCGATATGTCACAATAGAATTTACAAGACATAAATGATAAATACTAATTTCCAAGTGTTTGAAATCATTGACTACAATAATACAATTTATAACAAGTTTTAATCCCTGATGCCAGAGTAAATTTGCCGTTGTGCAAAGACTCAGTTTATTGAAAGCATTGGAAGCCTTCTTCAATGGGGTTTAAAAGACAATCTTGCAAGGTCTATGAATGTTTTTTTAACAAACACAGGGAAGTCATAGCTTTAAACATTCTGGCTTCCTTTTCTCTACGTAGATTCATATTCAGATTAAGCCATATTTTTGCATTCCATTCTAATGACTCATAGAATCCCAGGCCTAGGATTGCCCTTGGAAAAAGGGCTAATGTAAAGGTTTTTATTTAACAGACAAAAGAAGTCACTATTTTTCTACAGTCTTGTTATAACACATTTAATGTTCTCAACAGATATGGGAGAAGTCTACAGAGTGACTTGAGTTTTTATTGATAAAATGACACCTGAAATAAAGTTCTTCATACTGTCTAGACCTTCATTCTAGTGAGATGATAACTATTTCTAAGATTTACTTAGAGGTATAAAATCTGCCATTGTTACAATTTGTAATTAGTTTTAAAGTTCCTGCCAGTCTTTAGGGTTTCCCCTCTTGTTTTTTGAATGCTGGGAATGAAATATTACTCAGAAACAGACTTAAAATATGTTTAAAAAAGCCACAGTATAAAATTATTTAATGGTATACCCATTTGTCAGGCTCTCACAGAAAGAAGGGAAGATGACCAACATCAAAAGAACATCTAGATGTGAGGTTTTCAACACTATTTTTCACTACAAACAGACAAAATGCACAAAAAAAGAAACTTTGATGGCACCAATTTTCATTCAAGGTTGCAGTCAGTGCAATCATCTTGGTTGCTCAGAAACCTAAAAGATGTGTTTCATGTGCTTGATTCCATATGTTTTAAAGAAAACCATGATAATCAATGCCCAGAGTCCTAGAATAAAACCACCAGGAGGATGCCAGTCTTTTTGTTTTGGTTTCTGTAAAATAAAAATAAAATAATTATTATGTGTCATGTTAAATCCTCATTAAATTTATGCACAGGGTGGGAAAAAAATCATAGCATTATTTAAAAAAGAAGACAAGAAGCACCTCTTCACAAGGCCAATACCCAACAAAGTCAAATGCTCATCTTTTGAGTGGGTCTAAATGTACATGGGGTGGGGAAAATAATTTCACAGCCAAAAGGAGAATGGGAGTATATTATACTGTGTGAGAGTAATTTTCACTGTAAACCTCAATTTTCTTGTTTATGTAACTCTTCAGAAGAACATTCTTCCCACATTTGCCTAAAGACAATTTCTCAGGCAAAACATGACATTTTATTGGAAAAAGTTGGCAAAATATTGTTGAATTTTAAGTATTCAACTATTCCAAAGTGTGAAAGTTAAAAAGGTTGACTTTTTTAGTATCTAAGAAATTCACAGATGCTCATTCTGTTTTGAGTTATTAATACTTAGTTGTTACAATATATAAATGATAGGTATGTTTTAATGAATCTTATAACACACAATAAGATTACATACAACCTATACATTTTTCCAGAATTTATGTTGCATTGCTTCAAAGTGCCTTTGCTTGACTGGGCCATTGTGAACTTGGCCATTCTGGAAATATCTCCTGTTGTTCTACTTCTTTGCCCTCAATCTTTTTATCTGCAGCCAAGTGAAATACATCAAGATCTGCTAGGCCCCTTAGGTAAAATAAAACTCCTATCCCTTCTGCTGTCTCCTCAGCTCCACACCAATTTTAAATCTTGCATATTCAGTGCAAAATGGATTCTGGAGGGCATAGTCACGGAGTGCCCAAAAGAGAACTTTAACATCTCCAGCAGATGCAATTAAAAGCTACGTAAATGCAACATTTTTGTTGAAAACATAAACAAATTGAAGTCAAGGAAATCAGAGCTACAATTCTTAGGAGAAGCATAACTCAGCTCCTAATTCACAAAACAGGAGTAGATTTAACACTGTACACAGTAACGCATACACACACATATATATATAAGCAAGGAGTTACAGTTGCTAAAACAAAAAATAAAGGCATGCAGCTAAAATTAGTACTAAAGAAGAGGTCAAGTTTATGTATAGCTCATCTTGGCCAAATACGTAAGTCCTTACTTACTTTTGTACTCATTTCCTACTGAAACTGTACTTGTTTTGCTCTCCTACACCTTTGTGGAGAAACAGCCTACAGGGGTATTTTGCTTTTTGTAGTGGTTCAGTCAAATTCAAACAAAGTTGTACCATGGTCAAGTGAACAAATATTACGAAGACAGAATACTGTACAGATACAACTTCTCCACAAAACTAGTTAAGGGAAACTTGCCTTTTTCAACAAAATGTACCAGGTGGCTAAGCAACTTTAAAGCAATAGGAGCAGTTTGCAGCATCTGTTCTGCTGTGTAGCTTTCCCGTCAACAAGAAAACGATGCTTTTGGATTTCTCAGCCTCCATATTTTGGGAAACGCTAGATAGATTTTCCTAACTAGAGAAAGTTTCTTGATAAGTACAATACTTAATTTTTAAAAACATAGCAGACAAAGGACTTGAAAAACAAACAAAAATAGCAGTAACAATTCCATGAAACATTACTGAATTTATTTTCCCTACTGGGAAAAGGAAAGAACTAGGATTATAATTTACATTAATAACAACAAAGCTGAAGATTTTAACAAAGAAGTATATACACCATTAAATTTCCTAAGAAACTCTCATTAGCATAAAATGTATGCAATGTTGACAATTCACCACTTCATTGATATTCACAACCACACACCTCCATGTAAACATCTCAGGAAATCAACTCTAAATGTGCAAAGCTGCCAACATACCTCAGTTCTCAGAGTAACGGCTTTCCACACAAAGGAACTTTCTCGTTTAAATTCTCCTAATTAACCCACAACTTCGTATGCATATTGCAGTGCTCGTTTCATCAATCTCTTTGTACTATCAATCTTTCTTTTCTTGGATCTGAGACAAATCCTTACCACAAAGTGGCACCTGACCCTTCTAGACAAATGACTTCAATTTGCAGTCAGTGACACTAAAAGCCTCTCTCTTCTATTTTGTATAGAACACATAATTTAATTTCTTTAAAGAATTTATATGAATAAATATTTATAAGGTGATCTATGAGTATGGTTTTACATTTTGTCATACTGTATATGGAAGCCTCCTCCATGAAATTCCATGAGAATATGGAGTCTGCTACAGTAATGCTTTTACATTTTCATTCAAGGACACACAACTAGTCTGTGTAAAGCCATGGACTGCAGTTTTAAAATGTACTGGTTATATTACTGATGAAAAGACTAAAGCAGAAAAAAGAAAAGTAGGTAAAAGAAGTGAAGCTACATGCTCACTTATCTTAAAAATAAGTGTACCTCGATGAAGGGGATTGCAGACTAAAAACTATACAGGGCTACTGAGCCAGCACCACCTTCAGTACAACCAGCCTAAAAGTGATGGACAGTGGAAGTCATTTAAGATATCCATGGATGAAGCTGACAGACATTGACATTATGCAAATGGTATCAGCCATTTGCCAAATCCCATTGATATCAATACTGAAGACTTAAGCCAATTTATGAACAGCTGCTAATTTATACCTACAGCTGTCAACACCTCATTAAGGCCCATTATAGTAGTACTCGCATGTCCTTTACCTTTAATAAAAGCATTGAAAAGCGACAGCATGTACTCAAGTTTCAGGGCTACCAAGTAGCATAGAAGAGAGAATGGGATGGGCTGGAAGATTAACCATCTACCTGGAAGACATACAAAAAACTCGTATTCTTGTCTCAGACCATCACAGCTACCAAGTACACCCCTAACCAGATACCTGGCACTTTAGGCAATTTTCTGTTTGCCAAACAAGCAGAACATATGAGACTTAAACTGCGTTGTGGATCAAACCAAGAATCCAGAGCCACCCACCCCACATGGAAACACATGCCTGAGCTGCAACAGTCTATTGATCCTGGATAGGCCTCAATAGCCATCTTTAGACCCACAGATAAGATAATCATAGAAGACAACTACAAGGACTGATGATGATGTTAATAAGACTGTCTCTTGTTACATACAGATGAAACTGCCAACAAAGCAGCTAAGTGAACACGTGTTGGTACCTACAACAAAAAAACACAGACCCTCTAGTCTACTGAACACATGGAATGGAAGCACAGAGATAAAAGGTGGAACTATGTTTTTAAGCCTGCAAAGAACACCTTTGAGAGAGAACCCAAAAAGGTTTACATTAATTACCTAACCCTAAATCTAAACCTTAAAAAAAAGTCTATCACTGCTTAAAAATGTGATAGATATCTACTTCCTTAAGTTATTGACCAAGATGATCTTGGGTCTTTTTGGGACAAGAATTTCAGCCCAGAGAAGTCAATGCAATTTTGCCAGCAACATTAACAGGGTTATTTCACTGCTGGTTTCTGTGTCAGAAAGTGAGAGAACAAAGGGGTTTAGATAGAAGAGGTTCTTGAGTGGATTTTAATTTAAAGATCAGTTTCAGGCAAATTAGGGGCCTAAACTTCAGCAATGTTTTAGCAGGTTTAAAAACTCTAATAAAGATGTATCAAACCCATTTCTAATGCTGTTCATTACTGTAATGCTGTTCAATGCTGTGTATTACTGAGGGATATACTATGCATGTGTTTGAATGCATTTTGATTTCAATATATGTACCCTTGTATTAAAGTTGAGAGCAAGCAGAAAAAATACCCCAGGGAGAACACCCACAAGATTCAAACTAAATGGAAACAAATTAAAAAACCCTTAGAAAATGTTAGTCATATCAAACCCTGATATAAGTAGCAGATCATTGCCACTAATGCCTATTCATAAAAGCAAACATTTTTATTCAGAGAAATTGTGTCTCTCCCTCAACATAATATGTTCACATGGATCTCTCTCTCAATATATGAAAGCTGCATACTAAGAATTCAGCTATAATTTGCCTATAAAAATGCAAACAATCAATTTATGTACTGAAAATAATGATACAGAAAGAAGTTAATATGGTACAGCTTGCAGGGAAAACTTTTTCTTTTGTTTTTGTTTCATTTTTTCTTTAAAACACAAAACACCAAGTACTTTGGGGCACTGGCACAAAAACCTATAATCTCCACTTTTCAGATGTCAGGGATTTGAATAATTATGTGAATGTTACAGTAATCAATATGTTAAGTGCTGGAAAACATGCTGCTTAATTTCAGTCATAAATGCTATAATATTTTGAGTGAATTGGGAGAAAGAGGAGTCAGAAGTTATTTGCATATGGCAAACAGGTGTACAGGGAGGAGTGAATAATCAGATGTCCCACTGCCAAAAAGCCACATTTTAATCTTTTTACCAAGAATGCGTCTACATGTCTACAGAGTCTCTCCTGACCTAGTTACATCAGTAAAACCCCGCAAATGGAAACACAGGACGTGCCAGCATGGAAGGCAGGGAGTGTCTGCTGACACAACACCATCATTTTCCCACATAAACAATACTTCCCTGAAAAGGCACTCTTCTGTCAGAACAGCTGAATCAATACCAAGGCTTTAGCTCGTGCAGACAAAATCATAAGGTTGGTAGGGAGCTCAAGAGGTCATCTAGTCCAACCCCCTGCTAGAGCAAGACCATCCCCAACTATATTATCCCAGTCAAGGTTTTGTCTAGCATAGTCTTAAAAATCTCCAAGGATGGAGATTCCACAACCTCTCCAGGCTACCTGTTCCAGTGTTTTACTACCATCCTAGTGAGAAAGTTTTTCCTAATGTCTAACCTAAACTTCCCTTTCTGCAACTTGAGACCATTGTTCCTTGTTCTGTCATTTGCCACCACTGAGAACAGTCCAGCTCCATCTTGTCTGAAACCACCCTTCAAGTAGTTGAAGGCTGTTTGTTAATAAATCCCCTCCTCAGTCTTCTCTTCTCCAGACTCAATAACCCCAGTCCCCTCAGCTGCTCCTCATAAGT